TGAGGTCAACACTCACAGGATGTCTGTGTGTACAGGAGCGTGATGAGGTCAACACTCACAGGATGTCTGTGTGTACAGGAGGGTGATGAGGTCAACACTCACAGGATGTCTGTGTGTACAGGAGGGTGATGAGGTCAACACTCACAGGATGTCTGTGTGTACAGGAGGGTGATGAGGTCAACACTCACAGGATGTCTGTGTGTACAGGAGCGTGATGAGGTCAACACTCACAGGATGTCTGTGTGTACAGGAGCGTGATGAGGTCAACACTCACAGGATGTCTGTGTGTACAGGAGCGTGATGAGGTCAACACTCACAGGATGTCTGTGTGTACAGGAGCGTGATGAGGTCAACACTCACAGGATGTCTGTGTGTACAGGAGCGTGATGAGGTCAACACTCACAGGATGTCTGTGTGTACAGGAGCGTGATGAGGTCAACACTCACAGGATGTCTGTGTGTACAGGAGCGTGATGAGGTCAACACTCACAGGATGTCTGTGTGTACAGGAGCGTGATGAGGTCAACACTCACAGGATGTCTGTGTGTACAGGAGCGTGATGAGGTCAACACTCACAGGATGTCTGTGTGTACAGGAGCGTGATGAGGTCAACACTCACAGGATGTCTGTGTGTACAGGAGCGTGATGAGGTCAACACTCACAGGATGTCTGTGTGTACAGGAGCGTGATGAGGTCAACACTCACAGGATGTCTGTGTGTACAGGAGCGTGATGAGGTCAACCCTCACAGGATGTCTGTGTGTACAGGAACCTGATGAGGCCAACACTCACAGGACGACTGTGTGTACAGGAGCGTGATGAGGTCAACACTCACAGGATGTCTGTGTGTACAGGAGCGTGATGAGGTCAACACTCACAGGATGTCTGTGTGTACAGGAGCGTGATGAGGTCAACACTCACAGGATGTCTGTGTGTACAGGAGCGTGATGAGGTCAACACTCACAGGATGTCTGTGTGTACAGGAGCGTGATGAGGTCAACACTCACAGGATGTCTGTGTGTACAGGAGCGTGATGAGGTCAACACTCACAGGATGTCTGTGTGTACAGGAGCGTGATGAGGTCAACACTCACAGGATGTCTGTGTGTACAGGAGCGTGATGAGGTCAACACTCACAGGATGTCTGTGTGTACAGGAGCGTGATGAGGTCAACACTCACAGGATGTCTGTGTGTACAGGAGCGTGATGAGGTCAACACTCACAGGATGTCTGTGTGTACAGGAGCGTGATGAGGTCAACACTCACAGGATGTCTGTGTGTACAGGAGCGTGATGAGGTCAACACTCACAGGATGTCTGTGTGTACAGGAGCGTGATGAGGTCAACACTCACAGGATGTCTGTGTGTACAGGAACCTGATGAGGTCAACACTCACAGGATGTCTGTGTGTACAGGAACCTGATGAGGTCAACACTCACAGGATGTCTGTGTGTACAGGAACGTGATGAGGCCAACACTCACAGGATGTCTGTGTGTACAGGAACCTGATGAGGTCAACACTCACAGGATGTCTGTGTGTACAGGAGCGTGATGAGGCCAACACTCACAGGATGTCAGTGTGTACAGGAACGTGTACAGACGTCACGAGAAGTCACGAGTAGGGTTCGAACCTGTACTGTGGTCCCTCGCAAGCACACGCACTAGGAGTACCTAAGACGTGTGCTTGGGAGTAACTCCTCTCCACCCCCCCCCTGAGAGGGGGGAGTATAGTGGGGAGGGGGGAGAGAAGAGAGGTAGAAAGAGGAAGACTATCCCAGTCACTGTTCGATATCCCTCCTATGCATGTGTAAAATAAACATGTCTCTTGTCTATCTGTCCGGATGCTGGCAACCAAAGGCCTCCAACCTCTCCCAACTCTCCAAGATGAATCATATTGGGTTGGGGAGTGCCATAGGCCAGTCAATGTCAACCCAAGTGAAGTGCTTTAAGAAATATTGGAATTTATATAGACCCCCCCCCCCATGCAATTTTCATGAAATCATGTCTGAAATATTGATCATGTTTTCCCATAGAGTTGCTTGGCAGTCACAATGCTTCATACTAAATTTTCTGAGAGACGGGATATTGAAGAGGAGAAATAGGAGAAGACGAGGAGTCCTGGGCACAGCTGGGTACCTCTTCTAGTATACATATATATGTATCAAATCTAGGAATATAAATGTCTGTCTGCCTGCCTTAGGCTGAAGGCCAGAAGCTTCACCCAAGTTTCCCCAGTAATTGCTGCTAGCAACATGGATTGGCATCAGTGAAAAGAGTGCCAAGCGACACAGTGCCAGTGTCACCCCCACGACCTTATTCCAATAATATACAACTCGACTCTGACTTCTTCTTCTTCTTCTTATTTATATTCTTATTAGTAATAATAACTAATAATTATTATTATTATTACTATTATTTTGTAATATCAGAAACAGTATACACTGATCACGACAGAGAGAGGAAGGGAAACAGGGGGTGAGTGGGGGGGGGGGGCTGAAGAGGGAGAGAGTGAGGGGCTGTGGGAGGGAGAGAGGGGGGGGCTGTGGGAGGGAGGGAGTGAGGGGCTGTGGGAGGGAGAGAGAGAGGGGCTGTGGGAGGGAGAGAGTGAGGGGCTGTGGGTGGGAGTGAGTGTGGGGCTGTGGGTGGGAGGGAGTGAGGGGCTGTGGGAGGGAGAGAGAGAGTGAGGGGCTGTGGGAGGGAGAGAGTGAGGGGCTGTGGGAGGGAGAGAGTGAGGGGCTGTGGGAGGGAGAGAGTGAGGGGCTGTGGGAGGGAGAGAGAGTGGGGCTGTGGGAGGGAGAGAGTGAGGGGGTGTGGGAGGGAGAGAGTGAGGGGGTGTGGGAGGGAGAGAGTGAGGGGCTGTGGGAGGGAGAGAGTGAGGGGCTGTGGGAGGGAGAGAGTGAGGGGCTGTGGAGGGAGGGAGTGAGGGGCTGTGGGAGGGAGAGAGTGAGGGGTTGTGGGAGGGAGAAAGAGTGAAGGGTTGAAGAAAGGTGGGCTGGATGGGATAGATCAGTGGGATTCCAGGCAGGATTTGCATATAAAAACGCTCCGTCTTAGACGGCTGGCTGGCGGAGGTGATGGAAGGAGAGAGAGAGAGAGAGAGAGAGAGAGAGAGAGAGAGAGAGAGAGAGAGAGAGAGAGAGAGAGAGAGAGAGAGAGAGAGAGAGAGAGAGAGACAGACAGAGACTGTGGGAAGGCTACTCTGTTTCTCTTTCTTCACATTCCTCAGTATATGGATGGTAACTAATATAGGAACCCTAAACTTTACACTGAATTTTTGTCCTGCCAATTAGACCTCATAATTTGTCCCCCCCCCAAGACCTATATCTTTTAAGAAACTTTAGTAACGGAGCGGACATGGGAAGATGAACTTCTTTAATTATTTAAGCGAGACGGTAGAGACGGTAAACGCTAGTGTAAGGTGTAATATTCCCGTCACTGTGACGACGGAATAAGTGCACAACACTCCCCCTAGGGCGTCTCTGACCCTATATGTATTTGTCAAATCACTTGGCAATGACTTTGACAGTGATGACCGCAGATATGAATACAATTGAGTGGTGATAATGCTAATTAATTGGTGTGTATACTCTCGCTGATACTGGAGCTCGGTTGTTCTTCAAGTTATACACACACACACACACACACACACACACACACACACACACACACACACACACACACACACACACACACACACAGCCCAGTAGGCTCAGGAATCTGTATACCAGTTGATTGACAGTTGAGAGGCGGGACCAAAGAGCCAGAGCTCAACCCCCGCAACCACAACTAGGTGAGTACACACATACACACAGCCCAGTAGGCTCAGGAATCTGTATACCAGTTGATTGACAGTTGAGAGGCGGGACCAAAGAGCCAGAGCTCAACCCCGCAAGTACAACTAGGTTAGTACACACACACACACACACACACACACACACACACACACACACACACACACACACACACACACACACACACACACACACACAAAGGGACCTAAAACGTAGTGGTCAAAGTCTTATTAGGTTCTTAAATCTATTAACAAAGAAGACCAAAAATTTGTTCAACGTGAACATATGTAGAAGAAGACATGTGTTGAACTCAGATGAGCCATAAAGATGTATGGTAACATTTCTTGAGTATGAGAGAAGTGGAATGATCAAGAAGAGAAGATAGCTGAAGAAGCTCCATACAGTAGGAGTAAAGAGCATCAGAAGCCATTACAAAAGGTGACCGAATACTGAAAGGTGGAGCTCAAGAGCTGATGCATGTGTTGAAAGGATGATATATTGATGAAGGAACACACTCAGCTGGTCACAGACGCTAGAGAACTTGGCATTAAAACACACCGTTGCCTTTCCCAGCCGTGTGATAGGGTCCCTGTGTACATAACAGTCAACGCTAGGCTTCCACGCTTATATGTCACTCTGGGGCAGTCTGGGCTGCATGCTGAGTGTGTTCTTGTATTCACCTTGTTGCTGCGGGGGGTTGAGTGCTGGCTGTTTCGTCACACACACACACACACACACACACACACACACACACACACACACACACACACACACACACACACACACACACACACACACACACACACACATAAACACACACACACACACACACACACACACACACACACACACACACACACACACACACACACACACACACACACACACACACACACACACACTCTGGCTGTCTGTGTGTGTGTATGTGTGTGTACTCACCTAGTTGTGGTTGCGGGGGTTGAGCTTTGGCTCTTTGGTCCCGCCTCTCAACCGTCAATCAACTGATGTACAGAATCCTGAGTCTACTGGGCTCTGTCATATCTACATTTAAAACTGTGTATGGAGTCTGCCTCCACCACATCTCTTCCTAGTGCATTCCATTTATTGACTTCTCTGACACTGAAAAAGTTCTTTCTAATGTCTTGTGAAATTTCTAATGTGTGTGTGTGTGTGTGTGTGTATTTACATCAATGATGAATTCAACAAACTGTACCTGCGGGTAGAGCTTATGTTCTTGGACTCCAACTTTTCGGTTGTCGGATGTGACGCAGTGCCTCTCACGTATCTCGTATCTTGGTCATCAAACCAGTGCAGGAAGGTGGCGCCCACTATCAGGCCATGGAGGACCCTCCACGTGTTAGCCTCTCACTCCTCCAGTAGCCTCCACCACCTGTAACAACATGAACATTACAACGTCATAGTGACGGTAAACACTTCCTACACACATGTATAAAAATATAAAAAATCTCTCTCAATTTTGCTAGGTTAGGTTATCTAGTGACAGGTGAGGGTAGGTTAGTATAGGTCAGAATAGGTTAGGTAGAGATTTGCATATTTTTCTCAAGTTTTAGACCCTACTCCTCATAGCCTTTGGCTCAGCAGGTTCTTTGGTTATTATTACCATTGTCCTCTCGCTCTCTCTGAGGATCTTGTAGGCCGCAGTCATGTCTCACTTTATTTGATTTGATTTTGCAGAGTTAAAAGGTTGTTATTTTTTGTATTCTTTCCTTACATTTTAGTTTTCTCAGCCCTGGGCCCATCTTGTAGACCTAGGGGGAACCTTTGCACTTACGTAAGTAGTACATTCACCCTTGGGCTCCCGGGACCACTAGAAAGAGGGAGATAAAAAGCTCGTAGGTAGATAGGTAGGCAGGGAGGATTGTAGGTAGATAGGTAGGCAGGGAGGATTGTAGGTAGATAGGTAGGCAGGGAGGATTGTAGGTAGGTACCTTGAGGTTACCTTGAGGTGCTTGCGGGGCTTAGCGTCCCCGCGACCCGGTCGTCGACCAGGCCTCCTGGTAGTAGAAAGGTAGGTAGGTAGGAGTGTATATAGGTAAGTGAGTTAGTAGGTAAGTTGGTAGACAGGTAGGTATAGGAATGCATACAGGTAGATAAGTAGGTAGGTATGAAGGTAGGGAGGGTTGTTTTGGAGGGCAGAGCAGCTGGGAGTATACTAATTAACTGTGTTGAACAATGACGAGTTGTGAACAAGGCGCCCCTCTCATTTGTTGGTTCACGCCGGTCATTACTGCTCCAGTTTCCCAAGGTTTTGTTTTAAGTTGAATTGTTTGTTACAGCCGGATGTTTAAAGGGGGGATATGTAAAGCCATGTGTGTAAGGGGGAAATATGTAAAGCCACGGGTGTAAGGGGAAATATGTAAAACCACGTGTGTAAGGGAGAAATATGTAAAGCCACGGGTGTAAGGGAGAAATATGTAAAGTAATTATGTCGACGCTGTGATGGGCATGGTGTCGACACTTGAGTTTACACAGCATCTTTACCTTCTATCAAAGATGCGACAATTCATTTCCCTAATATAATATGAATTACAGATCATTCCTGATCTCAGGCACACTCATATGTAGGAGTGTGAGGTGAGAGGAGGGGAGACGAGTAAGGAAAAGAGAGGGGGGGAAGAGTGATGGAGGGTAATGAAGTGAGGGGGGAAGAGGGAAGAGAGTGAAGAGGTGAAATGGCAGGAGTGAGAAAGCGAGGAGGTGCTTAGCAAAGCTTCAGAAGGGTGCTCTGATACTCAAGCTTAGGAAAGGAAGGCCAAATCGAGGAGTGGGAGTTCACCCCCCACTCCTCCTCTCACCACAAATGGAGAATTGCACAAGAATCACTTGAACGTATAAATAGGTATGTGATGTCTCCTCGACTGAAGACATTTTAGTACAACCGGTTAAGCAAGTGACAAAGGACTCACAATAAGCAAAGGACGGTATTACAAATCTTCGCTATACCACTGATAGGCACGGTATTAAGAGGCTCTGAGCTGTCCCATTCATAGGAGCGGTATTATAGAGCTAAGGGCCGCTAGGCTATACCATTCACAGGAGCAGTATTGATCAAGGGGCCGCCAGCCCATCCCATTGACTGCCAGGATTGAAAACCCATTTACCGAGGAAGCTTAAGGAAAGTGGCAGAGCAATTTAAGGTAAGGCACCGAGAACCCCCAAACTAAGGGAGAAGAACCCTGCCAGGGAGGGGGGGGGGGAGACGAGGGAAGGGGAGGGGAAATATATCGATAATGCGACACGGGACGATAGCCTGGTTAGGCTTATTTCTCCTCGAGAGAAGCTAGAGGAATTGAACACGTGTTCACTAGCTCACTGGAATGTTAGGATTCCGTAAGACACGCCCAAGTCGCCTCCAACCGTTCATTCATTCATTCATTCATTCATTCATTTATTATGCACCCCATACCAATCCGGCGGGCGGTGGTGGAGAGGGTTACATGGGCACATATTTATTTACATTTAATTTACTCTAAGTATATGACAATCTTGTGAAGCTAGTTATACAATTGTTAAATTACTTACACATATACATGTATACGCATGCACACACATATGTACAAAAGTACATATACATATCAATAGCGTTTTTCAACTAGTCCTCAGGGAGGAAATCCCCTAATGGGGATGGGCTAAGAACGAATACATAATTCGTGCTATTATCTACTTTATCCATGGTCAGATTAGGTTAAGTTTCATTACATTTGGCTACATTGACTGTATTACTGACAATAATGTGAAATATGGACTTTAAAAACTATTTCAGTGTACCCGAGAATTCCGTTTAGAGAAAACTAAATTCTTGAAAGATATCGTCTTCAGCATGTGCTTTTTATATTTTAAACCAACGATTTATAATAAAATAAACTTATAACTTGAGAATGATCTCTGTTTAGGACATTAGTTCACTTGCCAGTTTATACATAGACTGGAACCGTAATATGCTTTCAGACCATCACAAATATCTAGATAACTATCCAGCTGGTTTTACATAATTGTTTGTCCAAGGTTGGAGACCAGGCACAACCTGTTCTCACTTTCTTTAAGTCAATATTGACTTATTAAATACGTGCATATGTGACATACTAATTTATTGTGAATATTTTAGTTTACCTTGAAAAGCTTCATAGAAAGCACCGACCTTACCTAACCTTCTTAGTATGTTAAGATAAGCATCTCATTGCTTCGTAATTACAATTATTACTTAACCTATACCTATTATAGGTTAAGTAATAATTGTAATTACGAAGCAATAAGATGCTTATCTTAACATACTAAGAAGGTTAGGTAAGGTCGGTATTTTCTATGAAGCTTTTCAAGGTAAACTAAAATATTCACAATAAATTAGTATGTCACATATGCACGTATTTAATATGTCAATATTGACTATAAGAAAGTGCGAGAACGGGTTACCAGGCGCTTGAGCCTAGCCTCGCCTAGCCCTCGTACATGAAGCACGAGGGACAGGCAAGTGTCGCGGGCCAGCTGGCGTCCACTCCAGAGCCACACTATAAGAAATATCTCCTCCCCTCCCCTCCTCCTTCCTCCGTCTGTGCAAATTTCATTGGTTATTAAATATTGGTTGTGTTGTCCAGAGAATTATTTAGTAGTTTCTATGCTTTGTTTTATCTGGAGTCTGCCAGTGCAGACTGCTTATCACATGCCTCTGTGTGACTAACCATCCTGTGTGATGGGCACTTTTTAGCATCACCTAGTTAGCTTTTTTGACACACTCTACTCCACTTCATATAGTCTAGGGTAGCTACACTAATGCAGATGTACCTCATATATTAATAATAAACAAATTTTTTATATAATTTTTCAGAGAGAGAGAGAGAGAGAGAGAGAGAGAGAGAGAGAGAGAGAGAGAGAGAGAGAGAGAGAGAGAGAGAGAGAGAGAGAGAGAGAGAGAGAGAGAGAGAGACAGGAGAAAGAGGGAGAGGGGGGAGAGATAAGACCCCAGCACAACCGGGTACCACCTCTAGTAACAAACACTATAACAGTGACACAATACGAGCGTGCAAAGATTAACATATACACAGAAGGAAACTATCAGGAGAAAACACCAAGCCTCGCCTAACTATATAGCACTTGGAAGGGATCAGGGGTAAGGATTTGGGATGGGCCGGGAGGGAAGGAATGGTGCCCAATCATGTTCACAGAAATACATGAGGAGAGAGACGGGAGACCGGAAGATATCGCTACCTTGAGAGGAGAGACGCAGGCACCAGGACGTCGACAGGTGAAGATAGGTGAGGTTACCCGAGGAGGTGACAGCTTGCATTCACCACTGTTAAAGGGGCAGGTATTGTCACACGAGAGAGAGAGAGAGAGAGAGAGAGAGAGAGAGAGAGAGAGAGAGAGAGAGAGAGAGAGAGAGAGAGAGAGAGAGAGAGAGAGAGAGAGATCCCATCCTCCTCGCTGGTAGTGGGATGGGTGTAACGGGACATTTTACATCATAGTGGACATTGGGAACATAGAACAGGTAGAAGAGACAAGGAGCTGGGACAGGTGAGAGTGTGGAACAGACGAGGAATAAGACAATACGAGCATGCAGAAGAGTTTGGTTCCTAATGATGTATTGAGACAAACAATACCATTCCATCCTGCCAGAAAAGTAAGAAGACTTTTCTCTCAAGAAGAAGAAGAAGTTCGCAAACTATTAACATTGTAAATGTCTTACAGACAAAACCGTAAATCTGGTAAATTCCGAACACTTTTCCGGAAAAAATAATTTACAATTTTTTATTTGTTTTTACAAATAGTGAAATTATACCATTTAGTTATCCTGGCGTGACGCTGACTTTGTTGGGTGTTCGTGTCGGGATTAAGGTCTATTATCCTGTGGAGTATTACCTCAGCCACCACAATTGCTTACTGACAACACCTAGATATAATTTCTCCATCAAACATCAATGAGTCAAATCATGAAAGCTATTAGATTTCTTTAGTTTTTCCCTGTTAAGTGGAAACCAACGCATATATATATATATATATATATATATATATATATATATATATATATATATATATATATATATATATATATATATATATATATATATATATGTGTGTGTGTATATGTATGTATTGATGTAGAATAACCACTGAGAATTTAAAAGGAGAACACCTTAGCGTTTTCACCTCTCACGAGTCGTCCTCAGAGGTGTACTGAGAGAGACATGTGTAGAGACAGTACCAGAGGAGGAAGGTGGGACCTGATGTTGTCTGTACCACACCAACCATCGCAGGAGACAGTCAACCTCACTCACAAACATGACCAAGACCGTCGGAAGTATAGAAATTGCAGCGTGAGAAGGCAGAGACCACATATGTGTGAGTATAGACAAAATGGTATTAACATTTAGTGTG